CAAGAAAGAAAGATAGAGGTTTAGGGTTCTCTAGATGACCTTTAGATCTTCACAGTTGTTGCTAATATGTTTACATTATGAATCACAACAATTAGTTAACTTTGGGTGTTCTTGGTCAAATTGTGATCATCGTCTCATTCTTGATATTTTCAACTGTAGGCGATTAAGTATGAATGCATTTTGTTGTGGATATCCTATTTTGGACACACCAATCTACAACATCAATCTATATTATTAGGTTTATTTGTTAGGTTAATGATAGTAATTATTATTTGACCTTGCTTTTTAAATGACTTTATTATTACTTTAATCATTTCTTTATAGATATGTTAATTTTTATTAAAACAAGACAAAAACCATATTTACCTTTTTTTTTCAAAGAATGCCACGACTTTTGTTTTTGCCTGCTTATCAACCTTGCTTTAAAACTTTTTTTTTCTAATTATTTAAGATATGTCAATGTATATTTTTTTTATAGATTTCCTTTAGTATTTAACTTTTTTTACTATTTAAAAATAAACGTTTACTAGTAGTAATAGATATGTATATAAATTTTACGTTGTTAGTCCTGCACGAGTAATAATATAGTGGTTCACATTATGTAATATTTAAAATAGCTATTTCTCTCATAATAATATATATTTCTCTCATAATAATTTATATCTACTGAAAAATACTCAAAAAATTTTATGGGTTTAATTTATGATTTTGTAATTTATATATGATTAAAAACCGATGAAAAAAAATAATAAAAAATAATAATATTAAGAAGTTGATTAAATATTTCGCCGGCGATAACGCTGAAATATGAGGCATTTGGTACATCAAATAATTATACATATAAAAACTAAATATTTGAACATATATTTTTCAAAAAAAAAATCATGAGCTGTAGAAAAAAGTTTCAAATTCAAATGATTTAATTTTTGTTAAGAGCGATTTTCGAATAAACGGAAAAAATGTCGAAAAGTTAAAATTAAATAATATAAACGAACAATAACATCAAAAAGTTCAAAAAAAAATAGACAAACAAAACATCAAAAAATAAATAAAAAAAACATTAAATCTACATATTCGAATAAAACGGCAAGAAAATTAAATAAAAAATGATTAAATAAAAAAAATAAATATAAATAAAATAATAAATCATAATATTAATAAATAATAATTTTTAATAATTTAGATAATTAATTTAATATTATTAAATAAGTTGATCTTTTATTTTTTGCAAATTAAAATTTAATATTATTAAATAAGTTGATTCTTTGTGTTTTGCTAATTAAAATCTTAAAATATAAAGGGATATGTAACAAACAAATAAAAATAAGACATATAATAAAATAATAATAATAATAATAATAAAACAAAGAAACAATGAACGGTGTTTGGCAAAAGAAAAAAAAAGTAATGATTATTTGTAAATTACTAGAAAGTAATTATGCTGAACACAATTTTCTAGATTAAATTGTTTTAAAGAAGTAGATTGGTGTGTGATAGGTATAGGTTAGATTGGTGTATCAAAAGAAATTTCCTAAGTTAAAATATGGAGGGAAGGACAATCCAGGCTACAAAAAATGCAATTATTGCAGCATTATCAAAGTTGGATCAAAATGATTCATTCAATATAACGACATTTAATGACCAGTTTTATTTATATTCATTAGCTTTGGAGTCGGCAACTAAAAAAGCTCTTTGACAATGCAAATGAATGGATTGGCATGACTTTTATTTGAAATGGTGCTATATATGTCACTTGCTCTTGATCAAGTTTTTTTTTCATGAATCTTGACTAAAAAAAAGATGTTTCATGTAACATCAACTCATCAACTAAATCAACTAATTATAGAAATATATAAAGTTATAAACCATATTAACAATATATTATATTTATTTACCATTGTCTTTGGAGTTGCAACTAAGGAAGCTCTTTTTTAACAAATAACAAATAATTAAGAACGGGTAATGTGGATGCCCCATTTTTTTAATGTAGTGGAAATATGTGACCACTAAACACAAGACTAGTGAATGGTTTATGGGAAACAATTTTAGAAAGCTTTCGAGGTTGGTTACATCTTTCTTGCGGAATTGCACCATATATTTTCGAAAAAATGGTTTATGAATTCCTTCATATATGCCAAAGCATTAATACTTGTGAAATCCTTATTTATTTATTTATTTTGTAAAATTCTTTCAGATATTATAAAATTTTGTCATATTTTCTTGTCGAAACATTAATAAAACAATTTTCCTAATGAGACTACTTCTACAAAAGTTAGGGATGAGATTTAGAACCGGAAAACCAGACCGGAACCGGAATCGGACCGGAACTGGAACCGTTAGAACCGGAATATGTAAAACCGGTCCGGGTCCCGGGTTTAAAGAATGGCTTTATCCGGGTTCCGGGTAATCCGGGTTTCGGGTCCGGGTAAACCGGGTTTAAGAACCGGAACTGTGTTAGAAACCGGAACCGGTTTTAGGGGCCGGAACAGGTTTCTATGAAAAGTTTAAAACATGCATATCTTATTCGTTTAAAGTCGAATTGGCATGAGGTTTTTTCCATAGTATAGTTTATAATTTTAATATGATTTTAGACTATAATTTTGTCATTTTTGGGTTTATATTCATTGACTTATAGCCTCTCAAAGTCGGGATATCAAAGCTGGATATTTTATGTTTTTCAGTTTTTTTTTGTATTCTGTGATAGTTTTAAAACATACATATCTCATTCGTTTAAAGTCGGATTGTCATTAGATTTTTCCATAGTATAGTTTATAGTTTGTACATGATTTTAGACTATAATTTTGCCATTTTTGGGTTTATATTCATTGACTTATAGTCTCTCAAAATCGGGATATCAAAGCTGGAAATTTTATGTTATTAAGCTTTTTTTATATTCTGTGATAGTTTTAAAACATGCATATCTCATTCGTTTGAAGTCGGATTGACATGAGGTTTTTCCAGAGTGTATTTTATAGTTTGTACATGATTTTAGACTATAATTTTGTTATTTTTGGGTGTTTATTCATTGACTTATAGTCTCTCAAAGTTGGGATATCAAAGCTGAAAATTTTATGTTTTTCAGCTTTCTTTGTATTTTGTGATAGATTTAAAACATGCATATCTAATTCGTTTGAAGTCGGAATAGCATGCGGTTTTTTCCAAAGTGTAGTATAGAGTTTGTACATGATTTTAGACTATAATTTTGTCATTTTTGGTTTCATATTCATTGATTTATAGTCTCTCAAAGTTGGGATATCAAAGCTGCGAAATTTTTTTTCTCATCTTTATTTTTGTATTTTGTGAAATTTTAAAACATGCATTCGACCCACTTTACCCGGTTCCTCGGGTTTTTCGGTTTTAGACCCACTTTACCCGGTTCCATTCGACCCACTTTGATATTTCCGGGTTTTCCGGTTCTAGACCCACTTTACCCGGAACCGAACCGGTTCCTATATACCGGTCCGGTTTCCAGTCCTAAAAAATCTCGTTAACCGGTTCCCGGGTTTTCCGGGTCCAGGTCTACCGGTTCAGTTTGGACCCACTCTCATCCCTATACAAAAGTTATTTAATCTTGGGAATATGACTTATTAAGGTAGTTAACTTTTCGGTTTGTTCACATCCAGGTAACTATCTTTTTTTTGTACATATCTAGGTGACAAACTTGTTGGAAGAGTTCACATATGACCATTATGACCTGCTGTAGCAGGTTACATCCTAGATGTGAACACTTTTAACAAGTTCTTTACCTAGATGTGTACAAAAAATAGTTACCCAAATATGAACAAAACGAAAAGTAAGAGTAAATTACACGAATGGTCCCTGTGGTTTGGGGGAATTTGTGTTTTTGGTCCTTAACTTATTTTTTTAACTCGGATGGTCCCTATTATTTATTTTTGTTGCGTGTTTGGTCTCTGTCTTACCTAAAAAGACTATTGTGCCCTTATTAATTTATTTTTAATTAATTTTCTTATTTATGTATTTATTTTTTATATATTTAAAAAAATTAATAGACACATATATGTATCTCCTCACCGTAAACCTGAAACCATATTTGAGAAATTTAATTTGGGTCTCATCAGTCACCATCTCATCTCTCATCCTCCTCAACTTCTATTTCTTTTTCATCTTTAGTGACATTCACGTCTTCACCATCCTTCTTTTTTTGGTCCTTCAACTCTGGCGAACCAACACCGTAACCCACTGTCTCTTCATCTTTAGTGGGTTGTGGTGTTGATTCGACGAAGTTGAAGGACCGAAAAAAGAAGGTATGATGAAGACGTCGATATCACTAAAGATGAAAAATAAAAAGAATTTGAGGATGATGAGAGATAGGATGGTGATGAGATACATATATGTGATGTCTATTAAAAATTTTTTTTAAATATATAAAGAATAAATACATAAATAAGAAAATTAATTAAAAAAAATTAAACTAATAATGTCACAATAGTCTTTTTAGGTAAGACAGGGACCAAACACGCAACAAAAATAAACAATAGGGACCATCCGAGTTAAAAAAATAAGTTAGGGACCAAAAATCTAAATTCTGCCAAACCACAGGGACCATTCGTGTAATTTACTCTTACTTTTCGTTTTGTTCATATTTAGGTAACTATTTTTTCTGTACATAACGAACTTGTTAAAAGTGTTCACATCTAGGATGTAACCTGCTACAGCAGGTCATTATTGTCATATGTGAACACCTCCAACAAGTTTGTTACCTAAATATATACAAAAAAAAAGATAGTTACCCAAATATGAACAAACCGAAAAATTAATTACCTTAATAAGTCATATTCCCTTTGATCTTCCATCTAACCCTAATTTTAAAATTTGGTTCATAAAGTGTTTTTGGTTTTCCAGCTAAAAAGGCGTCGTCGACCAAACAAATATGCGTTTGTTCACTGGCATGACATCATCACAACGGATAGACGACACGTTAAAGCATCCAACGTCATGTATTCCCATCTACATGACATCATCATTTCACCTGTTTTAATATGGACTGTTCTCAAATCTCAATACATTCATTCATCGGAGAACTCAACAAAACCTCTCTAGTAACATTTCCTTGCCGGCAGCCGGACGGAGACGTCATCCTCTTAACAACTTTGATGGAAAATTTGAAGAAAAAACGATCGGAGTTAAGAGGAGACCATAGATTACCCGGCAAGAAAACTAAGTTCAAGAAGGAGCGTTCCGACGTTGGAGGGACCGCCGATGACGCTGAGTTGGAGGAATTCTTTGCTATATTACAGCGGTTGCAGACGGGGTTTGATTATTTCCAGAATAAAGGTGTCGGGGGTTGTGGCGGTAAGTCTGCAGCGGCACCACCGGCGACGGGATCAGGGTTGTGTGGTCCGGCGTTTCAGTTGGAGGACTTTAAACCAATTGATGACGGCAGCCGGCCGATAGCGAGTAGCGGAGGAGCATTACAGAAGGACAACTTTGTTGGGTTTGATCTTAACGCCGACCCGGAAACTCAACTCAAATCCATATGATTCCGGTGTCTTTATGATTTTAGTCAATCTAATAAGTTTATTTGTTTTCTGTATTATTTTTATTTTGAACAGTTTTGCTACATATTTTAGCCTGAAAACATATATTAAGAACTGAATCAGATTGCTGTTAGTAATAAAATTGGATGCCAATATCGAACACTTATAAAACAATTTTTTTTGAGGTTTATGTAAACCTTAATTTTGAATCGTATGAACTTAAAAAATAAAGAGAAATTAAATATCTTCCTATTTTTTTGTTCCTATAAATTCTTCTATCCAATTAAATGATGAAACGTGTCATATTAGTATATTAAAATATCATTAAATGAACATTAAATGTTACACATGTCAGTATTTAATCTTCATATTCTAATAAAAGAATACGTTTGTTTTCCTTTTGACATGTGTCACTCTATTAGACCATCTAATTAATGTCATGTCATTTGTCAACCTATTTATTCTTCATTTCAAATTTCAAAATTTTTCACTCTACTTACATTAAATTAATAACATTATAATAAAAATAAAAATTACATTAATACAGATTATAAGATCACGTATTTATTTAAATCAACGATTATAATTTTATATAACTAAAAAATTATCTCTTAATTAATAATTTATTTAAAACAATTGGTTAATAATTTTGATCTTTTTACTATGAAAATTTAATTAATTTTATAACCGTGGTTCCCACGGGTTATAAACTAGTTAGGTATAAATATATATACCCTTGTTCTTCACATCAGGGGTTTGGTGTTGGTCTTGGTCATGTACTACATTATTGTCGCTATTAAAGTTTGTGACATTTTGCAAGCAAAGAACCACATGTTATGATGAAGCATCTTATCGAGATAATGACACACGAATTCATGATGTACGCGAGTCCAACTTACAAAATAATAATAATAATAATAATAAATAAATAAATAAATAAATGTTTGATGTTTTCATTTTCCATTGCTAATTATTAACTATTTAGCATATTTTATTGGATCATCTGAAAATTTTATTTGCAAAATATGTATTTAGAATAGAACTAAGATTTTACCAGTTACGTTTTACAGTGAAAGTAATGGATTTAAGAAATAATAAAAAGTAAAATGAACTTTTTCAATAGCAATTTTGCAATGGAAGTAATGGATTTAAGAAGTAATATAAATTAAAATGAACTCATTCGGTAGCAATAGAAACTTAAGAGGACTTAAGTTGTCAAACTACAAAAAATCATAGATAAAACTGAAATGTAGGAGGTCTTAAGTTGTCAAACCATAAAAGTCAAGTACCAAATTCAAACAATAGAGAGTAAAACGAGCCCTTTCAATAGCAATAACAATAAAAACTTAAGAGAACTTAAATTGTAAAACTGTGAAAGTCATAGAAACTTAAAAGAATTTAAGTTGTCAAACCATGAAAGTCAGGGACTAAATAAATAATTGAGAGTACTTAAGTTCTTAAACCACAAAAGTCAAGAAACAAATAATTATTGTAGTTCCCATTATCCACATGGGTTGGATTGATTTTTGTCTTTTTATATTTTGTTGGATCTCATGTAAAGGTACTTCACATACAAATGAGAAAAGAAGTTCAAATTTGGATGTGTATATGTATGAAAAGTTAGTATAACAATTTGGATCTGATTAGACTTTTGTAATTCTATTCCATCATAACTATTTTTGTATTACAAAGCAGGACAATAAAATGACTGAATGTTTGCAAGAGTTGGTGAGTACTTTGAAAATATATCTGATTTTGGCATCGTACTTATAACATGAACCTCACCAAGAAAACACGAGATATCATTCAATAAGTTAACTTACATCGACTGCATCAGTACCCTTATTCAACAAATAGATTTTCCAGTCAACACTCTAATACTTCTTTTTCCTAAAGTGGCAATTCAAATCTATAGCTCACATAACATTTAAACAGTTTTAGAGACCAAATTTTGAGCATCTAAATGCATTTTTGTAAAGACAAATATAACCAAAAGAGAAAACTTCTCTGTTTCAACTGGTGTTGACTTTTCCTTGGTACATTTTGCATTAAATGTGAGTTTCCATCTGTAAGCATCAACCAATTATGAAATCAATTAGAATTGAAGCTGAATGAAGTCATGAATTGATTCTTAAAATAAGTGTTACATGTTAGAGGAGAATGTTGAAGACTGGTGTGGGATAAGCCAACCCACTCATCCACCAATTCTTTCCATTTTTCTGTAACAATGAAAAACAACAAAATGGTGTTTAATGTTAACTGTGAACATGATAGACAATTAAACATGAAACAACTGTTTTTTGAATTTCTCCATGAAAGTAGAATTTGGGAAGGGGTACAAATGTTGGGGTAACCTGGTCAATGTACATATCAAGAACTCCATAAGCTAAAATAATAACCAATTACAATTTATAAATATCATGAAAGATGACTAACTTGGTCGATCCATAGGTAAAACCCTCTTTCAATTCATCTACATAACAACATAACATATTGCAAGCTATAGCTTCTTCCTCAAGGACACTCGTTTTTATTCCTATTCTTTTATCACCAAGTGTAATACATATTCTGGAACGGTTTAGCTTCATTTTAGTCGTAGTTGCGATGTTAATTACAAGGTTAACTGTGGATACTTCATTCAAACTGAGCAGAAAGTCGTGACAGACCAGTTCAACATAATATATGTTCCTAATGACTCCAACAACATATATATTTAATATATCTGATAGTAATAAACATCTAAGGTCTAAGTCATTAGATTGGAAATGAATACTTACTTGAAATCTAGGGTTATGCTTCCAAATGTTTGTTTAAGTTTCTGACTTCATGTGTCCCCCAAAACCTACAAATATTACAGGTATAATTCAGGTTTACGATTCAAATAAGATTTTCTTTGGGGTTAGGTTTTTTTGGATAAGAAGTTGATGCAAGGGCTTGCTCTCAGCCAAGGGATGTTCAACAACAAGTCCATATATTATTTGATCCAAAACATTAAACTTTCCAATTTCACAGGTAGCACTGGACCAACTAAGTACTGCATTAATTCTTCAACAGTCTCCTCAGTTGGACCAACCTCTATTGGAAAATCTATGTCCATAGCCCCTAGATTAAGTCAAACTAAAATAAATATACATTAGGAAAAAAGGACATTTAAAGAGATTAAAAAGCTTTACAGTATACATAGTACAGATGAAACAATGTTTTTAACTTGTGAAATTAACCATAGATGCATAAAGTAATAAGGAAGAGACTGAAGCAAAAGAAGAAATAAAACCAGAAATAGAGAAGGAGAAGGAGAACAGAAAGAAAAAGTTAGACCGTGAAAACTACCCAATCATCATCCAACCCGTGAAGTTACAACCGTGCGATTTCTTAAGAACCAAAAGCGCCCCTAATCATAAATCAAAACTCAATAAACAAAAAAATCAGTGAAATTAAAGATTGCCAGCAGAAGCAATTAATCTGAAATTTGAAATTAACGAATCATCAATGAAGCTATTTGAGTAGTGATGCTCCTTTTCTTCCTAAAGTTGATGATCAAAATCTTCTCGAGGCAGTGTATCTAGTTGTAGTATGCTGACGGAGATCTATAACGTTTTTTCTGAGCCGTCGTGGTCCTCAACAGTCGAGGTTGATCGATCAATGGTGGGTTTGTATATTTCTAAGGAATGAAATTGGGGACAAGAACAAAATACCTGGATGGCCATGGCGACAATGACTGAGGAACCTGAGGATGGAAATAAGGGTGTCGTTGATTTGAAATAAGGCGGTGGAATATTAGAAAATGAATAGCCAACATTTGACTGGAAGATGAGGCAGTGAGCCGATAGGGGGAGCACAACGTCTAATACCTTCCGATTGACGGTGGATCCAACCCAAGAATACGGTGAAGACAAAGAAAACAGGAAAGCACCGGTTGATGGAGCAGGTAGAGGTAGACGGAGAGAAAGCTAGTCGCTTTGTGTAGCTCCAATAGAATGGTGAGGTAGGTGGTATTTTGAGAGAAAGCATAGAATGTGAAGTTATTCTTAGAATACAGGAGCATCTTCGTAGGAGAATACATATCGGTGGAATACTTACCTGGACTAAGCCAGTGGAAGCGGTGATTGTGAAAGAATCGTAGCAGAACACGTAGCAATGATAACAAAGGAGCCGATGAATCACTATTTTAGCCAGGAGAAGCCATGGCTCCAAACCAGCCAGCCAAACCAAAGGTGGTTTGGCTTGGCTCAAAACCTGTTACTGTAGATAAGAGCAATGGGAATTAATTGTATATATAATTGGCCAAACATTATATATATATATATATATATATATATATATATATATATATATATATATATATATATATATATATATATATATTCTAGATTAAATTATACGAATAGTTCTTGTGGTCTGAGGTAGTTTACATGGTTGGTCTCTAACTTCTTTTTAACTCGGACGGCCCCTAGTGTTTGTTTGTCTTGAATCTTCGGTCCCTGTCATATATAAAAAGACTATTTTCCCTTGATCCTTTTTAATTTATTATTATTTATATTATTAAATAAATACACCCACACTCCCGCCTAACCTCACCTACCTTACCATCTTTCCCCATTCTCCATACCCCCTTCCATTCCTATTTTATGACTCCCATACTCCCTAAAAAGCTATCTACTGTCCTCTGCACCACCACCATCCACCCTATCATCAAAGTTAAAACACTGCATTTAAAATCAAATTTGTCAATAAGCCTTGACATAGTATATCGAATTTATCAGTAAAAATTAGGCTAAGATACCAGATTCAAACATTGAAGCATAAAACAGTTATGAAATATGAGATCAAAATTGAAATGCAAATCATACATGGAGTGAGGACTGAAACTTGAAATTCAAATTATGTAGATACACTTGACATCATACTCACAAACTTGAAATCAAGCACTCAATGACACATATTTATGCAACAATACTTGAAATCAGACAAATAAATTTGTACAGAGCAACTAAAATAGAACT